AAGTTAAACATGGGAATATTTGCGGAATTCAGGAGCTCGCGTATTCATAAATAAGACTAACACTGCCGTTGAATAAGATTTGTACTTGGCTTCATAATATACATTCTTCTTGAACATTTGTCGATTCCACTAATAAATTCACCCTGCCAATGTTATTTGTGTGCATTCATCCTACGGAAATGACCTATACAGCGTTACTTCATGCTTAACCTGGCTTTATAAAAGTTTAAAAGTTTACTGGCTTATTGACATACCTGAGATAACAAATATTTACCACTCCTAAGATTTGAACAAAGCAAGGATCACGAGTTGAGCAGAATTTATTTATGTCATAAAATTGCGTGACATCTAATTCATCTGCAAACGGTCATTGTCTGGTAAGATAGTAAATTAACTGTCCAATTAGACGGGTGAAACTCAATAAGTAAAAAGGATGGGAAACCTAAGTCAAAAATGTGGGTGCATTTTGAGGGGGAGAGGATGGGGCAGGTAGTTATCGCAGCAATGCAGTTCAGGTGATAATTACCTGCCCCCTCTTCTATCGTTCACTATGCACCCGCATTTTTGACTTAGGTTTCCCATCCTGTTTTACATATTAGGCTTCAGCCTTATAATTGGACAATTAATTGACCATATTAATAGGCAATGACCGTTTGCAAATAAATAAGAGGTCACGAAATTTTGTGACGTCAATAAATTCTGCTCATCCCGTGCGCTTCGACTTGTTCAAATTTCTTCCGCGAAAACAATGTTTTAACTCCTAAGATTGTTGGAGGAAACTTTCCCGTTCGCCTTGCAGCTGTTTTTCATCTATATTTGATTTTATGGCAGAAGTTTCCTTGGTAGTGGCAGAACAAAACTCCACATTTCCAGGTTTGTCGACAGCGATTCGAGCTCGATTTGAGCTCAATTCGAGCTCTATTTGTTTTTTTTTGCGCCTTTTTTCGATTTACGCGCCCGACGCTGTCGGCCTATAGCCACCGTATTAAATTATTTCGACAAAATGTTTCGACTTTTTTTTCTTATTTTCAAAAAATCCTTTTTGGTAAATCAGTTTTACCAGCTCAAAAAACCCCTTCTCACGGTTACCATATGAAAGCAACCTACGGCTTGTTGTGTTCAAGACCACTTTCAAGGAAACTCCTGCTGATT